TGCAGAGCACTAATTCAGAGTATGGGTCACCATACTTGGCCACATTTCACTTCACTACGTTCAAACCATAATGTATTTATTTCAAATCTTTTTATTACCATTTTCAATGACAGTATAGAAGGATACATCATAAAAAAACAGTAAACCACAGGGAACTGTCCAGATTAATCTCTCTCATAAACCTTCCAACCACCCAAATATTCCCTCAAAATAACTCAAATTTTGAAGAGAAAAAAAAATTAAGAAAAATAAATAAGAATAAAATGTAAATGACTAAATGAATAAAATAATAATAATACACTTTAAATTCCTTCTTTTATTAGTTGAAAGTTATGGATCATTACCAGTTGGAGGTGAACAAGGTAAACCTTTAATGTAATTTAAGAAGGGATCCCAAGTCTTGTAAAAGGATTTAAGTGAACCAGAGAGTGAACATCTCAATTTCTCAAGCCTAACACGATAGAAAATGTCCTGTATCCACCTGTCGTGAGTTGGAGTGGAAGTATGCTTAAACTTGAGTAGAATAGCTCGTCTGGCCAAGATTGTAGTAAAAGCAAAAACTTTACATAAGAGAAACCCCAAACAGGGCTAGAAATGGGTCAGGGTCAATATTAATGTTAAGAGCTTTTTTAAGTGTCTCAAATACATCGGACCAAAAGGTTACCAGCTGCGGACATGTCCAAAACATATGTACTGTAAATGATTGGCAGGTGAATGTTTGCAACGGTTGCAGGCAGCGCTCCTGTCTAGGAATTTTTTTGCTAATCGGCATTGGTTAAGTGAGCTCTGAATAGTATTATACATTGTATTAACTCATGCCTGGCACATATGGAAGAGGAGTGCACTTGGTTCAAGATGCTCTGCCATAAGTCCTCCGTAATAGAAACTCCCAGGTCTTGCTCCCAGGTATCTTTAAAAGAGTAAGTAGGATCTACAACAATAGAATTTATTAAATTATAAATGACAAAAATTAAATGCCTATGGCTGACGTTTAGAGCAAGAAAGTGGTCAATTTGTGATTCAGGGGGACAATTGGGAAAGTAAGGGAACAGCTTCTGTATAAAGTGCCTGATTTGAAAGAACCGAAATAAGTGCTGACTGGGTAGATCATGCTTTTTAGATAAGGAGGAGAAAGAAGCAAACACCCCCTCCTCACAGAGATCATTAATCTTGAGAAGGCCATTAGATGTCCAAAGGCGAAATGCAGAATCTAAGTTAGATGGGGAAAAAATAATTAAGGATGGGCATGTAAGTAGAGCCTCTTTGTAAACCATAATGTTTCCTAAATTGTACCCAAATTCTAAGGGAGCTGGTTAATATCGTATTATCCGGGACTCTGCTTACAACTAAGGGCAATTGTGAACAAACAATAGAATAAAAGGTGTTTTTCATTGATGAAGTTTCCATATGTACCCAGGGGTGACAATTGTCTGAGTAGTTGTCCCTATTCCAAAAGTGAAGCTTATTAATGTTACAGGTCCAATAATACTGCTGAATGTTTGGAAGTGTGAGGCCTCCTCTAGCTTTAGGAAGTTGTAGGATTGACTTCTTGAGGTGAGCAGGTTTATTCCCCTATAGAAATGAGCGTACAATACTGTCCAAGCCAGTAAAGAAAGATTTATTAATGCAAATAGGTACGTGTTGAAAGAGGTACAGAAATTTGGGCAAGATAACCATTTTGACCAAGTTAATCCGGCCTACCAGGGATAAAGGGAGAGAGGCCCATCTAGACATATCCCATTTGGATTTGTCAACAAGTGGTGGAAAATTTCTCACTAACAGCTTATTATATGAACTTGTAAAAAAAAAGAAAGAAAAGAAAACAGGTATCTGAAGCCATCAGGAGCAATCTTGAAAGGTAGGAGTGCTTGTGGAAGTGTTTAAGCTTCAGAGTTAACAAAACAAAGTTCACTTTTTTGTCAATTTATCTTGTAGCCAGATAATTGGCCAAATTTATCTAGGCTTGTGAACTAAACCATGACGAGAAATTCCCTCAAAACCATTGTGGCTACAGAGCCAGATAGCTAGAGCTTCTATGGCTAAATTAAAAAGTTAGGGAGAAGTAAGGTAGGAGAGTAAGGAGAGTAGGAGAGTAAGGTCGTGTCCCATGCTGAAGAGAGAAGGGGGGAGATCGTATGCCATTAGTATATACAGATGCCGTAGGGGAGGAATAAAGAAGTCAGATCCAGGAGATGAAGTTAGAGTCAAACCCAAACTTTCCCAATATAAAAAACAAGTAACCCCACTCCACCCTATCGAAGGCCTTTTCAGCATCTAGAGTCACAATCATTTCAGGTGAGTCAGATGGGCGGGAGAAGAGAATGTTGAGAAGCCTTCTGGTGTTAAAAAATTCTTGCTTTAAACGAGTCACTGTATAGATTTACTAAAATAGGTGCTAAAAGGGGAGCAAAAGCTTTATAGAATTCAACAGTAAAGCCGTCAGGACAAGGAGACTTTCCAGATTTCATGGATTAAATTGCTACCTGTATCTCGAATTCTGTAACTGGGTCGCCTAAAGTCTTAGCAATGTTTTCATCAATTGTGGGATACTCAAGAGAGTTAAGAAGATCTAAATTTACAGTACTATTTGAAGAGCTTTCTGAAGTGTACAGTCTAGCATAATAGTCTGAGAACACCAGGTTGATTCCAGCTGGTTCTGTAACTAATTCACCTGAGACCTGATGCTCAAAATCCATCTAGAAGACCAGCTGATCATCCTTGAAATGCCAGACCCCCTACCAAGTGTAATCTGACTGATTTGATAGTCTGAATGAACTAAGTGTCGTGATTACAGTATTTGCAGTATTCAGTTAGTATTCACTAGTTAGTTTGATAGCTGTTCTGATGGTTTATCCAGACTCAGCGTAACTATGAGGGTGAACAGTGAAGCTCTGCTGTGTGTTTCTGTGTTCGAGATCGTTTCTAGGAGTCTGTGTTCAGATCGTATAGCTGGAGTCTGACCCGAAAGGAGACATTTTCTTTCTTGTGTGTCTGTGTGAAGTGTAAGATAATTATGAGCTGCAGCTGAACACTAGTGTACTTCACTCACATGTAGCTCTACTGCAGTTTAAGAGCATTTAACTGGTTTTCATTGTGAAGTACAGCAGATCAACACAGTGAAACATGGAAAGAATGAGTAGAAATTATCCATGAATATGTTCTTATTGCTTCTGATATTTCTATTTACTGCATTTGTGGGGGAAGAAAAATGATTTGCTGTAATAGTCAATAACTGGTGACTTTGAAACCACCGCAGAAAGATGTTCATCTTCAGAACCAGTTAAAACACAACCATTTCAGGAAAACAAATGAAACCGGGTTGACTCTGTGCTGAAGCTCTGTTTACAGCTGGAGGGGTTTCCAGAAAGCAGCTTTATGTCTCTGAATCATGTTTCAGGGTTACTTTACTTCAGATAAACGTCTCTATACTTCAGATGATTTCAGCACAGGCATGAAAGCACAGGTTATATATCATTATAAATCATTGTTATGGTATAAAGCTATTCAGCCCTACTTTTCCAAGATCTAAATTCAAAAGTGAACAAACTATGCATTTATGAATACATTTCGTACTCTGAGTTTTCTATATTTGGGAGTTATTTGTATTTCTGCACCTCTGCTGTTTAACACTTACTGTACAGTGAACTAAAGTAAAAGTGTTAATGAAGTAGAAATGCTGCTGATTTCATTGAATGAGTCAGTTATAGTTTACCATATAGACACAATATTGAATAAAAGCTGTCTGCTGATGCTGAGTAATAGTTTCTCTCTCAAAGAGTTAAGAGCGTATGACAAATACTGTTTGAGAATCACATACACACTTTCTGTGATTCACTGACAAAGACACACTTGATCATCTGTTTGAATACGACATGAAGAGCTTTAAATAAAACCATCAAAACAACTTCAGCACAGCATTAAAGAAGCACAAAGTGACCAATGACACATCATAAGACGACACTCATACATGAAAACAACTAGAGAAAAGCTCTGCTGTGTGTTTCTGTGTTTGAGATTGTTTCTAGGAGTCTGTGTCCAGCTCGTATAGCTGGAGTCTGACCCAAAAGGAGACATTTTCTTTCTTGTGTGTCTGTGTGAAGTGTAAGATAATTATGAGCTGCAACTGAACACTAGTGTACTTTACTCACATGTAGCTCTACTGCAGTTTAAGAGCATTTAACTGGTTTTCATTGCGAAGTACAGCAGCTCAACATAGTGAAACATGGAAAGAATGAGTAGAAATGATCCATGAATATGTTCTTACTGCTTCTGATATTTGTGGGGGAAGAAAAATGATTTGCTGTAATAGTCAATAACTGGTGACTTTGAAACCACTGCAGAAAGATGTTCATCTTCAGAACCAGTTAAACCACAACCATTTCAGGAAAACAAATAAAACTGGTTTGACTCTGTGCTGGAGCTCTGTTTAGAGCAGGAGGGGTTTCCAGAAAGCAGCTTTATGTCTCTGAATCATGTTTCAGGGTTACTTTACTTCAGATAAACGTCTCTAAACTTCAGATGATTTCAGCACAAGCATGAAAGCACAGGTTATGTGTGAATTCATTATAAATCATTATTATGGTATAAATCTATTCAGCCCTACTTTTCCAAGATCTAAATTCAAAAGTGAACAAACTATGCATTTATGAATACATTTCGTACTCTGAGTTTTCTATATTTGGGAGTTATTTGTATTTCTGCACCTCTGCTGTTTAACACTTACTGTACAGTGAACTAAAGTAAAAGTGTTAATGAAGTAGAAATGCTGCTGATTTCATTGAATGAGTCTGTTATAGAGTTTACTATAATATTTCATTCAAGCTGTCTGCTGATGCTGAGTGATAGTTTCTCTCTCAAAGAGTTAAGAGCGTATGACAAATACTGTTTGAGAATCACATACACACTTTCTGTGATTCACTGACAAAGACACACTTGATCATCTGTTTGAATACGACATGAAGAGCTTTAAATAAAACCATCAAAACAACTTCAGCACAGCATTAAAGAGGCACAAAGTGACTAATGACACATCATAAGACGACACTCATACATGAAAACAACTAGAGAAAGATGAAACACTCACCTCAGTGTTTGTACATCTGTCTTTGTCTTCCTCTGAAGTGTTGTGTTGAACAGCAGCTCTGATATTTCTTTCACTTCTACCAGGAAGAGTTAGACGTGAGAATGAGAAGAATAACAGTCAGTCATCTAAACTCTCATCTGCTGTTATTCAGTCAGTTCAAATGAAAGATTGATTCTCAGGAAACGCTGCTGAACTCAGAAGTTGCTTTACAAGTTTGAACATGTGTTGAATGTTGAAAGTGCATCAAGTGTAAGTCCAAGATATGTATACAAGTTTGAACATGTGTTGAATGTTGAAAGTGTGTCTAGTGTCAGTCCAAGATATGTATAGTGTTGTGTCATCTTTGATTGGACAGTGATGGGTTTCCACATTAAAACAGAACACAAGATCCACGGGGCGTGGTTGGATCCACCTCTAGGGGGTGGAGATTAGTAGGTTTAGGGGTGGAGCTCTGGGAGATGGGTAAGTTAAGGGGTGGAGATGGGTGGGTTTAAGAATCAGTTGGTGGAGACAGGTAGGTTTAGGTACATGTAAGGTGGGAGGAGTTGGATCTGGATCCAACCACGCCCCCTGGATCTTGTGTTCTCTGCATATAGATAATATGCAATATAAATAACTTTTAGAATCAATAGCTTTAAACATGACTACATATGAGCTTAGATTTTTAAGTGTTTTTATACCTATAAATATTATCAACTCTATAAACTAACTTTACAACTTTTACTTGCACTTACAGGTGCATCTCAATAAATTAGAATGTCGTGGAAAAGTTCATTTATTTCAGTAATTCAACTCAAATTGTGAAACTTGTGTATTAAATAAATTCAGTCCACACAGACTGAAGTAGTTTAAGTCTTTGGTTCTTTTAATTGTGATGATTTTGGCTCACATTTAACAAAAACCCACCAATTCACTATCTCAACAAATTAGAATATAGTGACATGCCAATCAGCTAATCAACTCAAAACACCTGCAAAGGTTTCCTGAGCCTTCAAAATGGTCTCTCAGTTTGGTTCACCAGGCTACACAATCATGGGGAAGACTCCTGATCTGACAGTTGTCCAGAAGACAAACATTGACACCCTTCACAAGGAGGGTAACACACATAATTGGATGTCATCAAATCCATCAAAAAAAATAAATAAATCAAACAACAATAGTAGATAATAGGAATTTGTTGGGTATTTGTTCAGAATTATCAAAGACACAACAGTTTACAAACTACATATTAGAATTCTTAGTTTTAATGTTGAACTGACTGATTAAAAAAAAGAAACATACTGCTAAATGTCAGAATGCACATTTAATTATCACAAAATTCATGTTTTTGTCCTAATTTTAAGTTTGTGCGTGTGTGTTCACTCTCACCTTGCATGGCCCGAACGAGGTTCTTGACAGTGTCTGGTCGTACACTGAGAAATGCACATTTTTCCAACAGAGCGTCAGGCAGAGATTTAAACATGTCTATTTTATACACAGAGTCACTGCTTAGAGACTCCATAAATTTCCTGCACAGAGTACGAGAGAAAAGAGGAAAACATTTCAGCTACTGTACAAGCCTATAGATACACAGGGCAGATTTGCTTAGGGGTTAGTTCACCGAAAATAGGAAATTCTATCATTATTTGCTCATCATTCCTGGAAACCTGAAATACTTTTTTTTTAAGGGTGAGTAAATGATGACAGAATATCCTGTATTAGTCAGTATTTGTTTTTGAGTAACTTACTCAAGGATTTGGTTTTTATCCTCTATTTTAGCCACACTGTCCCTAAGTAACTTTGCCTTCTCCTCACTAAGAGAGAGAAAAAGGGAAGAAAAAGACATAACAGTTACAAATATGAACTTTCCACATAGATTTTAAACATTAAAATAACAAGTAAAGCATGTTACTGATGCACCAGCTGACCTATAAAGGGATGAGGCCTCATGAGTTGCCATGGGTACAAGTTTAGAGAAGAGGTCAGGACCAGTGACACTTTGATCAGTTAGGTTTATAGGCAGGGGTTTCACCAACGATGCACCTGCATGGCAGATGTCATAAGAGTACCAAAGGAAGCAAACATGAACAAAATAATGATTGTTACATTTATTATAATTTATCCTAATAATAATGTATTATAATTTTAAAAGAAATATTAGAGCTGTTAGTATACCATTTACTGTAGCCAATGTGTCCAGACCAGGCACAGACTCGTGGTAAATAAAGTCATTGTCTTTTTTAGTTGAGTTATATCTGAAACAGACAGAAAGTACAGTAAAAATGATCTCCAAATGAAAACACATAATAATAATAATAATAAAATAACAATAATAATAAATTCAAAGTCTTACTTTCCACCAATCACATCCATTGTGAATTTCAAAGCTTCCTGTACAGATTCCGGTTGGCCCTGAAAAGGTCAATGAATTAACATGTAAACATGCTTAATAAACAAACGGGTTGTGTGTATCTGTGTGCATGTGTTTGAGAATCTTTACCTTACTCTGCTTAATTGCCTCATTAAGTTTGTCCAGGGATGACTGAAAGTAAGCGACCTGTGGAGAAACAACAGGTGGCCTCACACTGTCATCAGAAGATATAACCCTCATATTCTACAGAGATGACGCTGAAGACCTCTTTTAAAAAGTAAACCAAGTAATGTTTGTATGAAGTCGTATATCACCCAGTGAAACTATTACTTGGTGCACATTCAATTATGTCAAAAACTATGTATAACTAAAACATGTTAACACACACAAGCATGTACTTACGGCTTCTCCATATTTCTGCTGTTCCTCTGACTGCTTTCCCATGTGTAACTAATGAAAATAAAATGATGTATGGTTTATGAAAATAACCAACAAGTTTATGAAAATGCATTGACATATGGTGAGTGCAGAGGTCTCACATGTGTGATGGCACTGAAGTAGCTGATCTTCATGTTGACGAGCTTTCTCCACTCTTTCTGAATCCTTCCTGGCACACATTCAGAATTATCCAACACCCTCAGACAATTCTTATAATAATCACACACCTGCAATCAGACTTGACATTAGTGTTGATAGTGGCAAGTGAGTGACAAGAGCTCTATAAAGCTGTTATGTTTACAGGGGAGCATATGTACAGAACTTCTTACCTGAGCACAAATCTTTGCTATTAAATGACTCTTCCTGTTGTCTAGTAAAGTTTTCTCCAGGAGACACTCTTGAGCTTGTGCCTTCAGAGAGAAAGATATAAAGGTTATAGAGGTTGTCCGAATCAAGTAAGTTGGAAATTAAAACGCAGCATTTGTGTGGTAGACTTTGCGTTTACCAGCATGAGGCTGATGTTGACTGAGAGTGTCTGGCTGCTCATGTCAGAGCTGTAGCTGTGATTAAAATGGTCTCGGAGGTGAGCAAAAGCCCCGGCAGAACACTGGAAATGCGTACAGGACACTTTCATCCCCTTAACACACCAACATATAAGCACAAAAAAGGACCAAAAGGTTAGCTTGAGAAATTTCAATTACTTATATTTTTTTCAATGTTTCCTAATTGTTAATTTATTGATCTGTCAATTATTTTATGACATATCAGCATTAAAGGCTACATTCATGGCCAAACTCTTATAAATACTTTAATTAATAATATACAATAAATTAACAATATTATTTTTTACAACGAAACAAAAGTAAATAAAGAAAAATAACTATGTATAAATTATATACAATCATTCAATTGATATTTGACAACAATTCTAATATTTTCCCACGAGAAACTTATTAAAAATAACCATTAATGTAATTCAAGTAAAAACATTTTGTAGAATAATATAAAGCATTCTAATAATATTTGTTTTACCATCAAGGGAGACACAAAGGAAATATTTCTCCTTTCAGTAAGTATAACAAACCAATGTCTAGATCTTACATTTATAACTGACTGACTTCATATAAATTTGTTATGGATGTATTTATTCCATTCCAATTGCCACTTTTTGACAAAAATATAAGTCAGTATCGGATTAAAGGGTTAGTTCACCCAAAAATGAAAATTCTGTCATTAATTACTCACCCTAGTGTTGTTCCAAACCCGTAAGACCTTCGTTCATCTTCGGAACACAATTTAAGATATTTTTGATGAAATATGAGGGCTCTCTGACCCTCCCATAGACAGCAAGGTAACTACCACGTTTAAGGTCCAGAAAAGTACCAAGATGATCGACAAAGTAGTCCGTGTGACATCAGTGGTTCAACTGTAAATTTACTTTTCTACGCGCGGTATTGTTTGCCCAAAA